AAGTGGAAAGACAGCAACTCAGCCACGAAGTAGCAGCCTCCTAGTTCAAGTGAAAGGAACTCTTAAGAACTCGCTTCAGCATACTTAGACAGTTTGGAAAATCGCCTCCTCCCAACTTTGTGTGAACACTTTGGGGATGGACCCTTCCTGTTCCAACAGGACGGCGCACCAGTGCACAAAACAAGGTCCATAAAGACATGGATGAGTGAGTTTAGTCTAGAAGAACTCTACTGGCCTGCACAGAATCCTGACCTCTGTTCGGAAGTCTATGCAGCTTCTGAACGAATGGACAAAAATTCCCATCAATAACTCCTAAACATTGTGGAAAGTGAATTGTGCTTCTATTGTAAACAGACTGCAGTGCTGTCTGATAGGCAAACCAATCTGATATAACATGAGGAGGATCACACACTCTGTAGCACTGTTGTGCTCTTTCTCTCAATGTTAAATGTTCACCAGCACTGTTACAGAAATTAAGCAGAGTTTTCCTCATGTCTAGACTGCATCTTTGCGCCATCCTTGTACATGTTCTGTTTTGAATCCACCTCGTTATTCTTAATATATGTTTAGATTCCTCTGTCAAAAAACTCTGCCTTTCTCTCAACCCAATGAAGAAGAGAGTCTGTGACTCTTGTCTCCCTCTTTTTGTCCTCAGGACTTTGGGACTGGATGTTAGGTCATTGTTATTGTTGAGGCGAAGCAGCTGTAGAATGCTAGCTACTAGGTCAGAGGTCATGTGTGGATGTGTGCTTTTGTTTTTTGTGTGTGTTTAGTCTATTAAAATGTCTGACAAGGTCCAAGTACCGAAGGGACTGTGCTACACATGTCATGAATACACAAGTTTGTTATTATCCAAAGCCTCTCTCAGGGACTCTCAAATTGTCTGCTTTCCCACAACTTTGCTTTCAGCCCAAACTGGTGTCATTTCTGTGATTCCGAGTAGCAAAAAGCAGCAATTGTCAATGTCATCAAAACTGCTTCTGATATTGTCTTAAGATTAAGCATAAATGGTAAAACAAATCATATTAAAACTAAATTTACACTCTGTTTTCACCATCATATAATACATGAAACATTTCATTTTTCTTGCCGTGTGATGAAGATGAGACCTCTCATTCTGTGCATCAACTTATACTATAAGCGTATTCTTGTGTTCTGGCTTCCCGGAAAGAAAAGTTTTTTTGGTTTGTTTTTTGTTTTTTGCCTGTCCCGTTTGTATCTTTAGCCATCAGAATTGTTGCCTGAAGGCCAAGAAAGATGCCAAGCGGATTTACCAATTGGATCATCATGGCCTTGCCATATTGGTCCATTTGATTGACCTTTATTATAATTATGTATTTATTTTATTTTATTTTCGGTTGTTACAGATGGGACAGACATGACTGGGAGAGAGGGAGAGAAAGAAAAATAGAGGGGAGAAGAGATGGTGAGAAAGTGGGGAAGAAAAAAAAAGAAACACAAGCAAAACACGTGGATCACCTGTATGGAGATAAGAAAGAACAGAAGAGAAAACGAGCAAAAAAGAGCAACATAATAAATACAACACCATCACAATAAACTAGCTAACAGTAGATAACAGTAGATACTAAATATTACATGTTATTGTGCAGCACGCAAGATTGACAGCGCACAATGTGCTTTGAGGCAGCAGCCAAGAAAGGTGTAGTTTGTGTCTGTGAACACCCGTGTGTACACCTGTGTGCACACCTGTGTGGCTCAGCACACTCAAAAGGTTTCTCCATGTAACGATCTGCTAGGGAGTGTGGGGAGCCATAGCCCCGTCCCCCGGCATGAAGCAGGTATGGAGGAGATCCAGGCCCCAGACATCCAGAGGCCCCAGAATACGAGGACCCAAGGAGGACCACCAGGGGGGCAACCGTGCCACCCTCCTGGGAAGAGCTGAGGAGAGCCCCAAACGAGAGGTCACCCAGCAGCCACGGAGCAGAGGCCAGAGGGGGTTGCAGTGACGTGCCCGCGGGCTCTGCTGGCAGCCAGCTGTGCCAGAGAGGACCGGGCCTCAGGCCCAGAGGCAGACACAAACGTGCATTCCCACCCCTATATACACAAACAAATACTCTGCACTCACCCGACGTGGAGACAGACACAAATAGACACTGTACACACATTCACACTCCCCAAACATACTCTATATCCCACGTCCGGGTATGGTTTGTCCCTCTGGGGGTGGGGGTACCCGGACCCAGGAGATTTAACCCTTCTCTCTGTGGTGGAGAAAAGCAGACTGCCTCCTTATCTGCAGTAGCAGGGAGGCCCCGCATCCCAGACCCCAATCTGACGGCCAGCACCTCCTCCCAGCCCCCCAGCCCTGACGGTTAACAGAACGGGGGTGAGTGAAGACCCCAAACCTCCCTCCGCCTGCTCATATGTAGTGTTGCTGTGTGTCTGTTCTAAAGTGCATTTAAAACACAGGAGAGCATGGTTCCTGCTTCCTCTCAGAGATCAGCATGGCTCCTCCCGAAAACCCTTAGTGTCTAAATGCATTTAAAATTGAGGGTAGGGCACCAGCGCCAGAGGTGGGTTGGAATACACCGACCATCCTCTGGATGCTGTAAAACGTGCCCACCCCCAAGGCCCTATATGTATGTGTTATGTGAGAGTGTGAGTAATGTGGATGTCTAGGTTGCAGATAAAATTGACAGTGTTATTTTTAGAAACTCCCACCATGCTGTTAGAGAAGAGCTGATGTTGATGCTTTTAAAGCATTCATGTTGTTTGATGTTTGAGCTGATAAATGGTAGGTCTGAAATTTCTAGATTATTACATAGTGCCTGTTCTACATCTATCCAGGGTTCATCTAAGAAGGTGTGTTTTAACCATCTAGAGATGAACTGAAGCCTGTTGGCTAAAAAGTAGTGATTAAAGCCGGTCGGAGGAGGCACGCTCCGTTTTGCGTAACTATTTTTAAATCCAGGTAGCAGTGCAACCACATAAGCTAGCGCAATAATTTTTTTTGCATATGAAACCGGAGGAGTTGTACTTACATCTTATGCCATCAGCTTGTCCTAGGTCACAGTTTCTTTCCACATATATAGCTTTGCAAAAACTGCATAAAAAGCACTTGCAGCAACAAAAACATAATATTCCAGAAACACGCTTTGCCGATCCGATCAGCTGTTTGAAACACTTCCTATGTCCATCAGCGCGAACTATTGCATGTCCGCCATGTCCTGGAAACCGGAATTGACGCCATTTTGCAGAAATGTAGTTTTTTACCATCAGGGCCTTATGAGCCTGTACTGGTGTTTTTAAAAGTTATGTTTGACTTTATGACTTTCTGTGTCATTTCTCGGATGCTTAGGACTCATATTGCACTGCTGGAAATAGTTTATTTTGATGCATATGCTGTTTTGTTTTTTTTGCAAATTTGCATTATAATATTTATTTTCTTTTTGCCTGCAGTATATAAAAATTGGTGTATTTCAAAAATAAAACTATGGCGACACTCAAAATAAATTTCCTGTGGTGAGAAACTATTTTGTGCAACTTTTTGTATTTACAGTTTTGAGGGATAAGCCTCTTAAATTTCTCTAACTAGAAACAGGGCTCTAGAGTGCAACCAATTTGGTCGCAAATGCGACCAAATTTTTTAGTGGTGCGACTAAAAAAGATATTTGGTTGCACCTGTGCGACCAAATGTTCGGGTAGCAAAAAAAAACAAAAACATCTGCAACCTTCCCTGTGGTCAACGACAGACACACATTATGCCCCTATCGTGGACTAAACCAATCAGAGATAGTAAGGGGCGGGACCTCTCTGATTGGCCGTGGTCCAGTTGAAAGTGCAGGTGGAAGTGGGAGGTGAGTAGCTTGAATAAAGCGATATCAATTCATTAAATCCTGAATCGACTTTTAAATATAACTGTGTTTTGCCAGAAACTCCAGATTCTCAGATTAAAGCTCACAAAACCATTTCAACAACAACCAAACAGCAAATGAGAGCAGGTACACGGATTCCACACAAAGACGTAAACACAGAACGGACCGACGCATCAGAATCAACTTTGTCTTTCTCGGCTTTCTCACCCGACGGCCCGCAGACGGACACGCTGTCGGAGCTTAGCGATTCTGATGCGTCCGGTCCGCGCTGTGATTACGTCTTTTTGCGCTGATTCTGAGCTGCAGGTTTTGTCTCTCCAACCAAAATCCACCGAGCCAGCAGCAAAAGAAGCAGCAAACTGCGCTTCACATTTGATCAATGTCCTCATGAATTTTGCTGTTTTGCTTCCACGACTATTAAAATCACACTTCATGCACAGCTAGCTCTCTCTCTATCTCTCTCTGTACTTCAGGAACAGTTTCCCGTCTCCAATCTCTGTTTTCTGTATTATTCATTCGACCAACCAGCTTACGAAAGAGTTTCCGAAACCAAATTTGTGTAAAGTTGCAAATAGAAATTTCCAGTTAACTCTGTATAGTTTATTATAATAATAGGAAAGCCAGCACACACGATCACTCCTTATGTGCTGCAGAAAGTCATTAAATACAAGGACAGCACGCAAAAGTGTTTTGCTTCTATTTCACATTTTGTTGAAACATCAATTTCTGCTACATTTCTTTTATTCTGAAAACCTACAGAATATTTTATGTTTTGTGTAATTGTTCGTCAGTTTCAATAAACTTGAAGAGTGTAATCTGTTGTCACTGATGCCTGCTCTGTTCTGTGCTGCTATTCTACCTGCCTCTGGTTTTTAATGCATGCTCTTCTAAAATAATATAAGTAATCACATTGTCTAATAAGCTATTGTGTGTACTGTGTTTGATATATTGTCTATGCTACTTGGCAGAGCATAGAGGTGCAGTATTGCATTGTGAGGCTTGCTTGTAACATTGTTTTTGAATTCCCTTGCCTGGATTGATCTGGGTTCTCTTTTTCCAGGGAATTTTTAGGAACACCAACATTATATGATTGCCATAAAGTTCAAAGTGACCTTTTCAGAAGCAAAGCCATTTAATACTGAATGCTCATCCTTTTCTTTCTAGATCATTGATGAAGACGAGACACAGTTCATGACCAACTGTCCTCCCGCGGTGACAGAGAGCACGCCTCGCAGACGCACCAGGATACAGGTCTTATGGACAGCACCACCCAGTGGGACTGGCTGTGTTATACTTAAGTAAGTTTTTGCTTTTACGATTATTCATCACAGAGACGTTTAGTAAAGTTAAAAGAAAACAAAAACAGCTGCTTCTTGCGTCAAAACAGGTTTAAAAGTTCAGATTGATAACGCCAGTTAAAGCTTGAATAGTACATGTTTATGGAAAATCAAACCTTAAAGATAACACATAGTGAAAGATTATTTGAACTGTGATAGGCACAGGTGTCTGGATTTAAACGCCATGATGGCAGATTTTAAATCAGTCACTGCTAGCTGATAGGAGTGTTTTGTCTGTGTGTGTTTTTTTTTTTTTTCTTTTTTCTTTTGTACATGGTGACAAAACCATAAAGGTCAAAGTGACAGATAACTTTGCTCAAGCAAGTTTGAGCAAGTTGGTTTTCATGCTGCTGGAAATCAACAGTATCTAATAGAAAGGAGCATAAGAATAGGTCAGATTAACATCCATGTGTCATCTTAAATAATTCTACAACATCAGGAGCACTTTACTCCCTTTTTACTTTTCCTTTTCCTTCACAAAACAACCGCAAAGCAGAATCTCTCCTGTTAGTGAATGTAGTTCACTGGTGTGGTCATTGTTGCTTTTACAGATACTCGTAATCGGTTATAGGCAGCACATTAAGTAAGCTGATGCCAGGTGTTTCTTTAGTTGGTGCGCGCATTAGCTTCTGTAAAGGGACCAGCTCTACAAAGGAGAGATGGATGGTGATTACTGGGGGCAATTTGTGGTTTGAAGCAGGTGGGGCTCTAAACCTCTGTGTAATTTCAGGAGTGTGTGTGACCTTAGCTTTATGTGCATGTGTGAAATGGCGCCAGCGACTCTGAGGAGAAATGCTGTGAAACTCTAAAGAAGGTGCACGGTATCAGGAGGTATTATTTTGTCTAGACACGCACTGGAGGAACAATAACTGTTCAGTGTTGTGCCTTTTATTAGTCATTTTAAAGCCTCCATAAAATAAGAGCTCTTTTTTTTGATAACAGTGTTTCCTTAAATAAATAAAAAAGGCGAGAAAATGCACTGTATGTGAATTCTAATGATAGGAAGAACATGTATCGATATATGCATACCCGACATATGCATATATCGGTTGGGCTGTAATATGCAGATGAGCCACAACATTTAAACCACTGATTGGAGGATGAAGTGTGGTCTGGCTCTTTCAGTCTTGGGGCTTTTAGGGCGGATCCCTACACAGCTGATGCTCGACAATAAGAACTTTGTTTTTTTCATTGTGTTCCTAGAGTCATTCCTGAGCAGTTTTTGAGGTGTAGCAGAGAGTGTTGGCCGTCTGGGTTGACCGTTGCCTTTGGGTAATGTTTTTATTGTTCGCAATCAGTCAGTAAAATGTTGTTTTTATGTCCATTTTTACAAATGCATTAGCAAAATGTACAGGTGTAGAAACAAAAGGAAAGAAATGTTTCTCTCTGAGATTCAAACTAATCAAAGGCATTTATTCTTATTAGACCATTTTTTTTAAAGGCTACTTGTTTTTCTGGATTTTAATGAAAATTATGGGAGAGAAACAGAGCGGGAACATACAAAGCTGATTTTAGTGAACGAAGGGGATGATTGTTATGCACAATGGCTACACTTTATGCTTCTACAAATTTAATATTCTCAGAAAACAAATAGCTCTTCCCGTTAATACATGATGGAGTGTGACGTATACTTCAAGCCATGTGCGAGGAAAAAACAAATGATGTGTGGGCTCAGACAGCTACAGTGACTTATGGCAATATGTAGCTGTGAGCCACTCTTTGACAACTTGAGAATACAAATGATAAACTGAGATAACTCAGAGGGAGCACACCTCTGAAGGCGTCTGCCTCTCTCCTCTTCTCTCCACAGGTATGCCTTCTTTTTCTTAGCTTTCTCTCTCTCTCTCTCGCTTGTTTCCATCTCTTCAATCCGACTTCCCAAAGGGAATAACCTCCCTGACATGCATCTCTTCCTCCACTGAGCGAGTTGCTATAACTTGCCCTCACCTCCACCGTATACTCACAGCTGTTACTTTTAATTTATCTGCTTTTGCTGTATGACAGATGGCACATAGCCATCCCGGTGTCTGCCGGTTCAATAAATCTAGCCCTATGTAGTGGAACATCTGCTATGCAAATTCACCTCGTTTTTCTGTCACTTTTGTCTGTCAGCTGCGAGATAGAGATTTAGTATTACTTCATTTAACATCTTCGCCTGCCTCGTCTCACTTCGTCTTCTTTCTTAACGGTCTGCTCTCTGCTGTTGTAACGTGCCCGTCATGTTATCTTTGTTCGGATCTATTCTGTTTTTCCCGTGATGCTTTTCACAGTGTCGAGGAGCAGATTCACATCAGCCAGGAAGGAGATACTTTGCAGTAGGTTTGCGCTATAAAACACCGCTTTAGTGGACAACACAGGCAGCTGTCTTAAATCATGTAGCTTTACCCTGGCCAATTCTGAGAGTGGCAAAAAAAACCCCGCACAACTTCACTTCTTCTAGCAATCTTCACAGCAAAGCTACACATTTTCATCCCACTGTGGGAATGCTCTTCTTCTCTCCGCCTCTCTTTATCTTGCGATCTGTTTCATCCCACTCAGCATTCACTCGCTTGGAGAAAAAATATGCTGTCCGTCCACAACGTCAAACACATGTCTCTCGGCTCATTCCAGGCACTTTCAAATACAGCTTCCTGCATTTGGGAGCGTTCCAGTACTTCTTCCCCCCCGTATGAGCCCACTGGTCGTTTCAGTGCTGGAGAAAGCCTCTGGGATTGTGTATTTCATTCGATGCCAACTTCAACACCTGCTATTTTGGAATCATTGCAATTATAATTTTTTGCAAGGGGGGGTGATAAAGCTGTTAGTGACAGCTGTAGCATTTAAAAAGAGGGTCTTGTTTTTTTTTTTTTGTTTTTTTAAATTGCAAAATCAGCTGCAGGTTTTTATTTCTTCTTATTAAAAAAAATATAGTGGTGAAAAGCAAGATCTGCTTTCAAACTTTATAAGAATAGTTGCTTTGTGTTTTATACACCGAACATGAGCAGCAGCGCACAGGTTGCTAGAAGAAAAACTTGCATTGCATGGAAGAAACTAACACACAGGGGTCAGTGCTTTGGAGATGTTAATCGTTTGTTACAAAAGCAAGTTCTGTTTGTCTGTTTTGGTCTTAACTGCAAACCAAGAAAGAAAAGGCTTTCTCTGTGAGCTTCTTTTTTTTTTTTATAGCTCTGTCTCATTATGTTACTTTAGGTTTAACACTTTTTGGGAAGCCTTTTTTGTTCTTATTGTAGTGTACTTAATTGCTATTACATCCACTCCTGTATTTTGCGTGCTTTGTTGCTGGGAAAGTGAACACCCAGTAAACTGACAGGTTTAGAAAGATCTCCAGTGTGTCCTGGGTCTTCCCTGTGGCCTCCTTCCAGAAAAGATGAGGAGGGGAAAAAATGTCAGTGTCGTCCACCTGTAAAACCACTCCCGTTTTGCAGGTTGTCTCGTTGTTGCCCCTCTTGTGCACCTGTTTTTAATTTAACACCAAAACAGCTGAAACGGATTAAAAACAGCCTCTGCTACCTAAATGAGCCGATCAGATTCCCAGAAATTTAATTGATTTGTCGCTATACTCGGATTAAAAAGTGTTCCTCTAATTTTTTTGAACAACATATTATTTATTTGTTTTATTTTTTTGTCCAAAGTCTGTCAGACTGTCAGATTAATTTTAAAGAAACTCCCAAGAGAATAAAAATCGTGTCTGTTACTCAAACTGTCAATTATAAAACTCCATCAGAGTTTCGAGCTGTAGTGCATGTAAGGGATTATGTCTGAGGTTGTGAGTGTGCCTACTGTAGCTAACCTGATTGAACTTTGCTTCCTTGAAACAACTGCCAGATCTTAGCAGTTTCTATGGTAACTACAGTCCTATAATAATCAACATTGATGAATTACAGTTTGAATAATCAATTAATAACTAAACTAAACAATTAATAACTATACTGATTCCAGCATCTAGTTTTGTTTTATTATAAGTGATGGAAATTTAAAATGATATTATTGCACTGTTGACTAAACACCTCAGATACACGTCGTGCCATCACAAAACAGGGGCTCAAAGTGTCGGGGTCAGTGGGCCCCCTTACTGGGTTTACCCGTTACACACTACACACACAGACTCACATGATAAAAACAATAGTAGCCACAGTGGCGTGGATAGTAATAGCAAACTCAGTCAATAATATAATAATACATTTTGAGAGTTTACATAATAAATGATAAGTAAAAACTGTACTGATTAGGCAATGATGAAAATATTCATGTTATCACGACTGCTATGTCCATACCTGACATTGCTGCTTCTTGGAAAAAGCGATTTTCTAAAGTTCACACAGTGAAGGAATGTGTGAGCTGAGAACACCTGAAAGAAGCCGGCTGTTAAACACGCTCATCGGTTTCTTGGCAAGCAGAACATGTCTGCAGCTTTTAAATAGCGCTCTCTATCATGTGCTATACCTGCTCAGCGCTCGCTGGCAGTGGAACTAACAACAACTGTGTGTAACTTCTCTCCTGGAGGCAGGTAGTGTACCGTCAGGCCTGCCCTCCTCCCCCTCAACTGGTCAAGTTGTCGTCATTCATCTGGCTTTTTTGTCTGTCTGGAAACGATGTGTAGCCTCCGGCTGAGGGAAACAAGCTGTAAAAAAAAACCCTCACAGGCACTGTATGCGTTATTTTCTACTGCATATTTAGCTTCACTGTATTTATTTTTAATGCTTTGGCTCTAATACTATAATTATAGCACTTTTATAAATAAACTATTTGTATACGCTATATACTTAGTGTTATATAAAGCACAAAACTGTCTACCATTGTCAGTGTCTGAACGCCTGAAAAGAGGAAATGTTTGAATATTAATTTTACCAACGTTTGTTGAGTAAGTTTGTTTTATCACTGAGCAGAATTAGCTCTGGTGGAAACGCTGCGTTTTTGTTTGTTTTTTTAGTGTTGGCCTAACTCGTGTTTATCTGTGATGA